GTTTTGCTTTCCTGATAAAAAATAACTAATTATTGGTAATATAAAGACAGTTAGTTATAAATGTTGATACTTCTAAAAGTCAATTGGGATTTTAAAGCAGACATTCATGTGAAAGTACTTTCCAATCTGTGCTATTTAATTGTAAAAAATAAATTACTAAGGCTCTTTTACCTATAGGGCCTCAGTATTGCATTCGTGCCGAAAAACATTTTTTGTCCCCACTTTCTAATACTTTATTCCACGTTTGCAATCACTCAAATTACGAAAATAAAAAAAAATGTTTCGTCAGGTCGTCTGTGCGTATGTATGTCTGCACTATAACTCTAGCACGAAACCTCCGATTGATTTTGATTTTTTGTAAATAATTTCTTCAAACCATGATTTTCATAAATTTCTGTTCATCTTAATCTCTTTAAATATCAGTGTTTTTAAAATCAAATACGTTTTTTATTGGGCTTGTTTTATTTATACCATCATGGTAAAATTGGACTACATATGCATGGCTATGCTTATTAAATGTGAACTTACAGATATTTTTTCTATCTTGGTTTTACTCTTAAATGTTAAATTATTTAACATTTTTAAACATTTAATAAAATATTTTTTCTACGACCACTTAGAAAAGTGACACATATCCGTACTATATAGTGTTATGGAAAGTGTCATATATTACCCGCGTGCGGATAGATAAGAAACTACAATCCGCATCAGGTATGAAATACTTCAGATGAATCATTATTAGTAAAATCGATTTAATGATTAAATTGTAAATTTTTGCTACTATTTTCTTGATATTTATTTTGATGTTTTTTTTCTGGATAAGAATAACAAATGCGTTTCTTGGCTAAAATAATTGATACAAAGAAAAATATATGAATACAAATAGAGATTTGCTCTTCTACTCAACTAGTATGATAGACAACATCTTAGTATACATTTTCTGATGTCTAGATGTGCCCTGCATGTGTACTTAACTACTAAATTTATTGCACAATATAGCTTTATGATTTTGAAAAAAACATAATTAAAACCCAAATCTATAAGCATCTGAAGTCAAACCTTTAACGTTTAAATAGTTTATTTACCATTCGAGTAATTCAACACGTTTAAATAAGTACTTGTCTCAATACGTTTAAATGTTCCATTTGAGCAAGATCACGTCAAGTGGATTCCCTATTTTCCACTTGATCATAAAAATTAAGTTAATTTATTGTTTTTATAAGTAGTTGCCATGAAAAATTAATCCCCCAAATAATTTTTCAAAATTTTGATTTTAACAGTAATTTTTTTAACAATGAAAATTTTGAGTACTTTTAATTAAAAAATGGATTTTAAATCAACCGGTAAAGATAAATTAATGAAATTTTCAGGATTTATTGTTAAATATCTATATTTTGATAATATATTAATAACTTAAAATTATTTGTTTATTATCATATTGTTAATTAACTTTTAAATAAACAAATTAAAATTTCATTGATATCTCGGTAAAAAAATGAAGTTTTTTTTTATCGGTTATATGCATTATTTATTTAAGTTTAATATTCCGAAAGAAAATCTCACTGCTCGCTATTAGTTTAAACAATGTGAATTTATTTATCATAGCACGTCGGGCGCTGGCTGTCAGAACACCGCGCGGCTGAGCGTCTCAGGCTACACTGCATCTTTGGTCATTTATAACTAAAAATAACAATTCAAAATATTAATATTAATAATAAATTTTAGTTACGGAACAACTGTTGCCATAGGGACACTTGTCATTGTAATAACTAAACAAAAACTCAAATCTCGAATTCAAAAAATGCATAGTTGCCAAATTATAGATGGTATAATCTAAATTTCGTTTAGCTGAAAGACATTTTTCATGCAAGCCACGTACTACCTTGCATGAGAATTGCCTTCTACTTATTACTTTCATTTTATATTGATATTATATTGTACTAAGTAATTAAAACAGTGGTAATGTTTAACATTTTTCAATAATAATACTTTTTAGATATAAACTTGTAAGCACACTGTAAAGTCCAAAAAATTTTTTAATTATAGCTTCAATAGATATTCATGTTTCTGTATAAAAGGAATTTAAAAAAAAGTCTGAACCGACGTGTAAATGATGCCCCTCCCTGTATATGTTACAAATGGCTTTATATTCATTCTAATTTAAATTGGGTAATAATATTTATTTATGATTGTATTATTTGTTTGTCCATTACCTTGGTTTCGAACCATTGGACCCGGTCCTTTGAAGGGCCATGTAACCAGGGATACATGTGGCGGATAAAATTCGCGACAGCATCATATAATATACCCGGATGTTATAATTGTTTTTATATTACTAAAAAGTAATAATTACTATTATTTGCTTGTAATAAGTACTACAATAACAGAATATAAACATTGGCCTATCGTTAAATTACTTAAATTAAGAAAGATATAATTCGGAATGAACAAGTAATTGAGATGAGTCGTAATGAAGAGAAATGTTTTCCTTAAAAATATCTTTCAATTGGTATATAACATATCCTTATTGGGGGTAAGGCAATTTCCCATACATTTCTGCCTATTGTCCTTCGTTTTTTATAGTTTTAAGATTTAAAGTTTATCTTCTCACCGTATTTGAGTCAACATTTTTTTTATCAACTTTAAAAAAGTAATTTTTTGAGGTGTTTGTTTTTGGTTTAATACAATTTGTAATGATTGTTATTTTTAGAATCGTTGAGAAAAATATGGTCCAGACATGTTTGGGAATTATTTTTCACCATGGTAGCAGTAATTATAGTCGAATGAAAACCTAATTCAGACATTAGATTTAAATATTTATTGAACTCTACGGTTTCAGCCAAAACGTTAATATTTATCTCCTACAAATAAGGTATAATCGAAATGGTTGTTGTCTTTATTCAGTAAGTTGTTTAATTGTTCTAAAAAAATTGCTGAAAATCTATAGTATCTTATTATTTATCGGCAAATACTGCAGCAATTAATTTCTAATAATTATTAATTAAAGGCTGATTTTCACTGGACGTGTCAGGAACCGGATTGACAATGGCACGACACATGCTCGGCACGGGCAAAGCTTTATTGAGGTATTCACACTGCTACAGGCTTGCCGCTGGTAAATTAGTTTGTAGCTGTGACAAAAGTGAAAATCTTCGCGACTTCCACGTTAATAAAAATTGCTCTAATATTAGACGAAGAAGAGCAAGAAAATGTAAACAAATATTTTAGACTAAGGAAACGTTATTTTAGGGTGCATAAAATGCTTAAAAAACGTAATGAAGAAGGGGAGTACCTTTTATGACTGAAATCATAAATAGCCTTACTTTCTCAGACATATTCAATAATAATTTCGACTTATTCCGCCAAAAAAGTGGGCATCAGCAGAGGCTTCATTTTGTCTTGTCACTAGAAAACTGTACTTTTTAACACAATGAACGCAGGTGAACTGCCGGAAGTGTATAGTGTATTCACTCTTGTCTCGACCGGCACCGCTCTTGAGCGGCAAATATTCTTTCAGATGAATGAATGCTGCATGCAAAGGCCGGCGCTTGCCGAGACGTACGCATAGTGTGAATTTAACCACGCAAAAGTCATAAGATGTAAATGCTAAAACGAAATAGTAGTTTGTGCAACAAGACTTTTACTAATTTATAAAATAAAATAAACACGAAAAATATTTTGTTTTATTTTTTCTTCATCTATGTTTACCAAGAATAACCACGCTACCGTTAGATGGAGCAATATTACTTTCAATAATAAAACGAATAAATGTTTAAACATTTTTTCAATAATAAAATGGGTACTGTATTGACAATCATATTTGAAGACATAAGTGAATAAAGGGCCGATGTACATTTTTGAATAAATTGTCTGTTATATTCTTTAAAATTAAGAACCTATGTTCTATGGTAAACTATCCAAATAAAAAACTTTAAATTCAAATATTTCTAAATTATTTTTTTGTTTCGTAGGCCCTTCATCCACTTATGTCCTTCATTTGTTATTCGACACCTATTGGGAGAGCATTGAGTTTATCCTAATACTTCAGTTGCCTCTATTGTAAATTTCGTATGTTCAGTGTTGTTCTAATAGCTGTTTATTAGAATAATATATTAAATTTTCCTAGATCGCAATAAAATATAGGTTTAAAATGGAATCCTGAAAACCTGTTGAAATCTAGAGAATTTATTAGAAAATCTACTGAAATTCTACTTTACACCTTTATTCTTCTTAAAAATCTACCAAATTAGTAGGAAATCTACTGGAAATGCTCACAATATTTTGTGATATTATAACTAGATATTGATATTATTTTACCCACCTAGTAGCCCTATCTACTCTCTTTCACGTAAATTTGTTAATATTAATTGAAAATCTGATTAATTTTTATTTAATTGTGTCGTTATTAACTATTCATTTGCACAAGATATGAAACTTCGGTTGTTTATTTACAATAACCATGCCTACAATAATGTATGCTTCGTTTTTTCATAATTGAAGAGGCCAAACTAGATATTTACCGATGTTCAATATCAGTGTTTAATGTCGCCAGCAATTTTCTAATTGACTAATTCCTTCGCCAAATTTTCAATTTCGAATTTTTTTTCAAAATGTATCTCCGATAATACAACTTCGCACATAATTTTTGAGCGCCCCTCCATTCTCACGCTCAAAACTTCATCCCCCATCCAGAGAAACTTATACATGTTCACTTGAAGAGACTATTTCAAGCTCGTGCTTTTCAGTCAGTCGAGCCACGGCCTTCGAAGGAAGAGGACGGATACGGATCGATTATTATCGCTCTCGCTTAGAAAAATACGTCGCACGAATGCAGCATTAAAACCAACACGTCGGGAACATTATTTTCCAAAAATAAGTCATTTTTGACGGGAAAACAGAACTGTCACCGAATAAAAACAACAAAACTTCCAAATGTCGTTAACTTCGTTTCCAAAAGTGATTTAAATGTGCACCTAGGATTAACCAAAAACGAAAAAAAAATGGATAGGGACTCGTTAGGCGCAACACCGAGGGGTATACCTCAAAAAAAGACGACGCAAAACCTCCCAAAACCGAACTGCAACATCGGCATAAACCTAGTGATGTGTGTTTTGTGCTTAGTGAGTGTATCATCTTCAGTGTGGAGGGAGTTTGATATGAAAGGTAGACTTGCTGTGCTCGAAGATAGGGTTGAGTATTTGGAACTGAGAGGCGATTCTTCGCCCGAGAAGGGTATGGAGGGGTTGTTTGAGAGGTACAGGAGAGAGGCCGTGTACCATCTGAAGAGGAGGGTGTTAAGAGATGTACCGACTGACGGAAGGAGGATAAGGGATATACCCGAATGTGTTTGTCCTGCAGGTAAAATTTCTAAAATGATAAAATATTTATTAACTTACCCCCAAAATATTTTACAGCATTTCAATGACCGTGTGTATTTTTTCTTTTTTATGCAAATTAGGGAACATTTATTAAAAATAATAAAATTTAATATTTATTAAAAGACTAACTGATTGGATTTTTTAAAAACGTTTGATGAAGAATGCAGAAACTAGCAATCTTTTAAAAATGAGGTTCAGTTTATAAAATTATTTATGAATGTTGTAAATACAAGCGGGCCCAAATTGGATCCTTGCAGAACCCCAGGCGATACCAAGCCTGGTATTAATGTTACCCTATTGGTCATTGTCTAATTTGAGCTCTTTTCGCTTATGAAAAAAACTAAGCATACGTACTTGTAGGTAGTGACTATTTTAAATAAAAAATCATAGTTCCATGTTGTGCAAAATTATTTGTCCTTTTTTGAAGCAAAATGTCCTTGTGACTTTTTAAAGCTTTTTTATAGCAAATATTTTTTTTACGGCAAATGTATTTTTTACAGCACATATCTTTGGAAGGGAGTGCAAAAATATGCTGTTTTTTTTTTTAGAATTAATGCTAACAATTTTACTTGATGGGGCAAAACCAGGGTTAGCCGGTACAGGTTTTTTTGCACCTAGGTTTTTAGGATTTTAAAAAACCTAAATGTGAAAATTCTGTAATTTTAAGTATTTTGAGACAAATATTAAAAATTCAGAATTTTTCTAATCAACTCTCGAGAGAAAGGATGTAAAAAATGAGTGTATAATAGTGTATATAAAAACAAATGCAAACATTTTATTAAAGGATACCCTTCTTCTTGATATTGATATTAATAATAGTGACAAAAATAGGTACAATATTTTTATTTTTCACTTTTTAGTTTTTTTAGTTTGCAGAATGCAATTTTTTGACATAAGTATATGACCTAAAAACATTAAAAAAATTTATAAAACCTAAATAACCTACTTAAATAATTTTTAATTCTTAAGTTTTTTCAACCTTGGGTAAAACAATGTCATGTCATTAGTTATAATAAATACTATAAATCATTGTTAGGGCAAGAAAAGTTATTAGAAATGATAAATAATAGAATAGTAAACTTTTTGTGCGACTTAATAACGTAAAAGCGGGCGCAAAAGTAGCATTGAGCTTTGATTTGAGACATTTGTTAAAATATTTTTATATAACAAAATTAAATGCATCGTTTTTACTTCCATAAAAACAATTCATATCATTTTTAAAATAGTTAGAGCTCTTTGAAATCAGTAACAGTAACAGGCGCTCGTTTTTACTTTCCTATCTGTATACAGATATAAGGAAAGTATAGGAATCATGATTTTTTTCGACCTCGAGTTTTCGACGGATTTTTACGTTTTGAGGTCCCCTGAATCCGTTTTGACTATTTTCGCGATGATGTCTGTGTGTGTGTGTGTGTGTGTGTGTGTGTCTGTGTGTCTGTGTGTGTGTGTGTGTGTGTGTGTGTCTGTATAACGCATAACTCATGAACCGATACACAGAAAAACACCAAATTTTAAACTTAAGCTTTGTTTCAGCGTCCAATGAGCTGATTAGATTTTGGGCAGAGTCGGAACATCTGGGGGGGTACTTTATGGGTGGTCATTTTTATATTTTATGGAATATATCTGTTATTTACGTTTGGAGAAGAAAATTCTTCAAATAAAAGTTACTTCTAATATAATTATCTATAATTTTTGTTATATGCAAAATTTTCCTAAAATGGTCCGTATTCGAGAAATTTGACAAAATGTAAAAAAAATAATTTTTTATAAAAATTGTTCAAATAAAAGTTGTTTGTAATATAATTCTCTATAATTTTTATTCTATACATAATTTCTCTAAAATGGACCGTATTCGAGATATTTGAGAAAATGTGTAAATTTCGAATTTTGAAGAAAACTCAAAAACGGATATAGAAAAAAACATTAAATTTTAAACTTAAGGTTTATTTCGGCCTGACGTGCAATGATTAGATTTTGGACAAAGTCGGAACATCTGGGGGGGTACTTTATGGGAGACCGTTTTTATATTTTATGGAATATATCTGTTATTTATGTTTGGAGAAGAAAATTGTTCAATTAACAGTTACTTCTAATATTATTTTCTATAATTTTTGTTTTATGTCAAAATTTCCTGAAATGGTCCGTATTCGAGAAATTTGACAAAATGTGCAAAATTCTGATTTTTTTTGTTTTTACGTAATAACTAGATAGGAAAGTCATGTGTTGGACACATCAGATTTTTTGAAAATGTCTCATTGATACGCCTATATACACTGCCAGTCGAAGTTCTATATTGTTCTGGAATGACGACGAAGCTCCTAGACATCGATTAAGGCGGATACACTGTTCTAGAAAATGGTAGATCCGTGATGTACATTCTGGCGGATGCGTAATTCTACTCTATAGTATTCTAGAGAGCCATATATGTGTATAAATATCAGTTTTTCTTTGAGTAAATCGAAAAAATCAATAGTTTTGCCGAACTTTTTAAATCTACACTATGGATTTAGTTTAAATTTTCTACAGCTATAAGAGATTCGAAGAAAATCTGTTTCTATTTTGATAATATACGTTTAACAGTGCCATTTCATAATAGATTTAATAAAAAAAAATTAACTCAAGTAGTATTGAATGTTTATTGTGAAATATAAATTAAAAAGTCGTGTCAGAAAGCGGAAATCAAATACTCTTAACATTGAAATTATATACCTATACGGTTTTAATAAAAAAATAAATCTTTCTTCAAAAATCATTAATTATCCTATTGTAAACCTGTCCGAATCCATTCAAAAATATCGGATACCAAATTTGGAGACTTCCACTATAATTTATACCAATTTAATATCTATTTAAGCTTTAAGCTGTTCAATCTTTCACTCTCATAACACAACAGTGACACAGACCACAGTTTTTAATGAGGGGATATTGTTTTAATTTTTCAAGGTTCTCTCATTGGTCTGAGTTCTGTTAAATTTGTATCATAACATTTTTTAAATATTTTTTAAAATAATATTTAGAAAACACAGTAGGTACAATCAAAACTCGCCTCAAAAACCCTAAAAATAATTTAACCTCCCTTGGAAAACATAAATAATTAGAAAGTGTAAAAATCCTAGACACTGAATAAAATTTTAGACAATAGTGAGATGTTGCCGTATTATGCGTATAGAATATATTAAATGCTTCTAAATGATAACTCTGCATGGATTTCCGAAGAGTTCTAGCCTTAGTACTTCCTGAATAATTTGAAGTTACAATTATAAAAAAATTTGCATGCAATATTGAGATGCTGTCATATTATGATGAGTTCTAGAGTATATAATGCTTCTAAATGCTATATAACCCTGCATGTGTTATTCAATAAATGTTATTAATAAAAGCATTATAAAGCATATATTCTAGAATGCCTCATAAAAAGTCAACATCTCACTATCGTCTACAATTTTTGTTTAAAATTATTTTAAAATTATTTAGAAAGTGCTAAAGGCTAAAATTCTTCCGTAGTCTATGAAAAGAGACTCTAGTTATCATTTAGAAGCATATATTTTGGAAAGACAGCATTTCACTATAGTATACACTTTTTGTTTATAATTATTACTTGAAAGTATTTAGAAAGTGGCAGAGGCTAGGCTAGATACGAGGGTAGATATCATTTGTAAGTATTAGGAACTCTAGAACTATATCCCATGCAACATCATGCCGTCATTATGACGTGATTTTTTTGGTGTGCGTTACGTCATTTGATGACGGGAAAATAACGTTATGGTAACGTGAGAATGTCACAGCGAAATGACGTCATTCCATATCGTCATGTTGACGAATCGATATCACGTTAAAGTAACGTGTATATCGGATGTCCTAGACTAGGCAAAATTACGTCATTATCACGAATCTACCTAAGGTTGGATGGAATTATAAAAAATACTAAGCAGATGAAAGTTATTTATTTAATCCAAAAAATACATGAAAAATATATTATAAAAAATAAGTTACACTGGTAAATAAAAAAGTCATGAGTAAAAAACCAAAAGGAATAAAATGACAAAAGAATATTAGAGGAACTGACACAACATACCTAAAATTGTAAATTTAATTTTAATTGGGGGTGGGCTTTACGATTTCATCATCTTCAATATCATGGAATGACAGCTTTCTAGTTGGCACCTATTTTCTTTTAGCAGGTACTTTATCAGCCTCGAAATGTAGATCCGAGGTAACTTCGACTTTTTTTAATTTGTTACATCACTTATCATTATCTTTTATAATAAAAGAACTAAATACAGACCACTGAAAATTCTTAAAGATAGAAAGTAAATTGTGTATCTAGTTGTAAAATCTGAGGGGACTAATTCACCGATGATTTAGGTAGTAGCCCCAAAAACTACCTTCTCAGAGATATACATATACTCTAAGTTTATAAAAAAAGTTAATAAAAAAAAAGATCATATATCCTGTGAAATGATAAAAGGTATCTAAATCAAGTGACCCCTACAAATCTTTCATTTTTATATAATCTATTAAAAAAATACCCTAAAAGAACTCATAATCAAAAAATAAAAGTATAGCATTACTCACTAAGCTTACTCGTATATTATATTATATTATATTTCTTTATAAAGGCGGCCAAAAGACTTGTTTTTTACGCGGCGTCAGCCATTTTCTGCTCACCTCGCTACCGCCAGACCGTCATCATCCGGTTTTTCAATCTCAACAATGCAATACATCTGTAAAATACCAAATTCGGTTTAATATACTTTATTATTTTGTCACATTCTATTTTTTACCTTTTCCTAAAACATCTTATCAAATAAAGTACAATTTAAAAATGCACCGCGTTCACGAGGTCACGACTGTCACGAGAATCATGAAGATGAAGGCAACAGGAAACAACAGTGACAATTGACAATATGACATTGCCAGAATATTTTTCAGTTTAGTACTAGATTGGCATAAATAATTGTACTGAAATATGGTACAATT